GAGTCATTTGACAGGGGAATGGTTGGGATATACAGCCTACTGTAGTACTTCAAGGGAATCTTTGTGGCCAGCTGTTGCTGAAAGGTGAAGCATCACTGAACCAAAAAGATAAAACCAGACTGAATATATCAGAAACCAAGCTATTAAAAACATAATCTTAATATTGACTTAACCTGAATTTTTCTGTATTTTACTGAGCGTTGCATGTGACTAGCACATGATGTATATGACCTAAACTAAGTTTTTCAGTTTTCAAATGCTCATGCATAAGATCTCAACTTTAATGTTATTAGAAGGATTAAATTAAAATAGCCTAAGATGTTTTGTTCCTTTAACAAGAATATGAATTAGAGATGGTAAGCTACTAGTTTAATGTAATTTGACTTTAAATAGTTGATTTGCCTTTGCTTTTGTGAATACGTGTCTATGTAAGCTAAGCCAAATTAAAAGCTTATATACATGTGAGTTTGTCATATGACTTGAATCTCTTAAAATAAGAAGTGTCTATATATAGATGCTTCTTAATTTTTATTGCAAGTTAAATGATCAGCTCAAAAATCTTTGAGTAATTTTGAGTGAGCTGCATTTGGTTTTGGAGATCAGATTTGTTTGGACCTCTCATTTGCCATCACCTTGGGAGTATGCCACTTGGTGTCCTACCCACCTTTGCATTGTAGCTGAACTGATATGTCTAAACTTGATATTTACTGCTCTTAAGATATACTGGCCAGATGTCATCTCATAGCTTTTAATGTTTTCACACAGTCAAGATCAGTTAATTTGTAGTTGCATACTCCTGGAGTTGAATTCAGCCATTGTCCCTGCTGCTACCAGTTACATCAACTGTACTTTTTGCATATGCCTGGAGCCAGGCTTATCTGAATTCTTAATCTGACAACGCACACATTCTACAGGCCTGTCCTAATAGCTGTTGTAATGGCCACAGGAGAGGACATCTCTGTTTCTATGCTGCTACAAAGGTAAAGGGCTCAAGTAGATTTATGCAAAAAGTAAATGACTGATGGTTGGTACCCTAGCTGCTTTTTTTCTCTCTCTCTTTTTTGGGGGGTGGGGTAGGGGGGGAGTTATTTGGTTGTTTTTTATAGGACTTTTTAAAAGCTCTTTTTCACTACTTTTTGTGACCTGTAAAGTTTTCAACAGAATTTAGTTTGTGGTAGGTAATACTGAAGGCACCAAGATGAAAAGGAGGTTTTTCTATAGTTTTTGTCAAGAGCTACAATTTTCTCCCTTGTGCCAGAGCCTTTATTCTACAGGGTCTGGCAGCAGGGTCTGTTGATTCTGGCTTGGGATCTCAGCCTTTATGTTGTATACAAAATTAATATTAAGCCAAATATGTTACTTGAAGCAAAATTGGAGTTTGTCTTGCTTTCAGGTACAGATAGGATACAGATGCTTTTGAGTGATCCTTTGAGAACTTGAATCTCCCAGAATGTTAGGAACAGAGCAGCAACTGTGCCAGTTGTCTGTGGTTTAAATTCACATCACTGCCTGGGGAAAAGAACAGCTGGTCACAACTGGGCCATCCCTATAATCCATCTTTTTTTTTTTTTTTTAATTCCAGCATCATCTTTTGACTATTGTGAAATCCTATTTTAATTGGGTACAGTGTTGTTATTCCCCTTTCAACACAATCTGGACAATGATTGCAACATATTATTACATTGTCTTTTAGAAAAAGATTCAGTCCCACATTTGATTGGGTTCGTTTGATCAGTGTCAATATGTTTGCTTTTGGATTTTGTATCTTAATGCCATAAAGCAATGCATAGGGACTGGAGCTTGCCGATAATAACCCTTGAAGTTGAAGCAGTTAGTGCTGAACCCTATACTTTGTCTTCCAATGTCTTCTGTATATCTACAGTCAAGATGCATATGGACCTTAAGGCACAAGTTTTTTATTGCAAATATAGTGCATCAAAGCATTCTTGTCATGACTGCTTCTATAGGTGGTGGTACCCATAGGGTAGTGTTGCTACATTTTGGATAAGTTCTTCTAGTTCTGTATCTTGTTGTTTAGGAGAAAGATTCCTTCTCTGTCTTGATATGCTGAGTACCTAACATTATCAAATCTCTCTCTCTGTAAAGATGCAGAGACAGTTTGCAGAGGCAGCTATGTCATCAGTTATGAACATGACTTCTTCTGCCTAATTCTCAAATAGTGCAACAGCAGTTGATGGCCAGCATTTTATACTGTGCAGATCAGCCCTGAAAAACCTGTGTAGTTGTAAAATAGGTCCTTGGAACCCCTGAACCCTGGGTCTTGACTGAGGAATAAGAGCAGGGAACTTAATGTTGGTATATATTTTTCTACGATTGGATACATGCTATGGAAGTAGTGTTCTAAATTGGGCTGGGGGGGGGGCACATTTTCTTTGTTGCCATGGCAACTGTTAGCCTCTAATTTCCCTCTAGATCTTGTATTTATTTAGAGTCCTACAAACATAAGGACAAGAGCATTATCTCCATTAGAACACTTGACCGATCTCTCGGAAAGTAAGAAAAAGATGAACCAACATTTGGCAACCTTTTCTCAACTTTCCAGGGAATAAAAGAGAACATACTGCACACATGCAGAAGGAGTTATTGGAGTTCATGAAAAATCAGATAACTTCGGAGTGCATGCTACATTATTGTTCACAATTCAGCCCTATCCTCTAGCCCATTTAGAATGCTCCCTCTTAGGACTAGCAGCTCCTGTCAGTTTCCTGTGTTCCTTCCCGTCTCTGGAGAGTTTGGGGATCTCCTATTTTGTTTCTTTCCCTCTCCTCCTCTTCCCTCCCCCCCTTTTTTTAATTCCGCAAGCAAGAATTTCCTCCCTCCATTATGCTTTCCAATAGAAAACTGTGCAGATATTTAACTGTGTAGTTCTAAAGTTTTCCATTTAATATAAACTCCTGTTTGAAAATGTCTACCTACTTATTTTTTTTAAATTAACCTTATTAGTAGAAGTTAAATAAAATCACCTATTTCCAGACCTGTTTCTTTTTGTGTATGTGTGTGTTTGTATGTGTGCATGTATATTTATATATATACATACACACACACACATACACATATATATAGCCAAATATGTCAAACTTCTGTTTTACTACACAAATTCATCTGTAGAAATAAGGGAGACTGGCAAAATGCTTGATTGAAATCTCGTTACAATGCTTGTTCTAGGTATCATAGTCTTGGTGCTGCCACTTCCCTTCCAAGAGGAACCAATTACAATAGGAGGCAAATGTCTCTTGGCTGCCTTGGATTTTTTTTCACTACCAGAACTGTTTCTTTAACCTTCCATGTTTGTTTACATCTCTCATTCTTTGTTATGCTGTATATTTCAGGTATGGGTGTCCTTCTTGATCCAATAGGTTACGTGCTAAAATCTTTTTTCTGGCTAAGCTCTAGAACATGCATGTCCTATACCTAAGAAAATTGAGGTGGATGACTACTAGGTGTTTAGAGATAGCAGCTTGCTGTGCTTCCCTTAACTCCTGTGTGTGATGAGGCCAGGATGGGTGTGTAACTGTGTTTCTGTATGACTGGGCAATGTTGATCTTGGCGATTTCCTGCTGGTTTGCCTTTTCCTATTGCCTTGGGGATTCAGATTACCCAGACAACTATATAATTATTTCTGATTTGACTTACTCCTTATGGTAGTGCTGTGTGTGCAGAAAGAGACATGAAATAATTGAACAGCTCCCTTCTGCTCAAGTTGCAACAAAGATTTCATAAGCCAAGGAAGAAGAATGGTGGATGTTCTCTACATGCTAATGTCTGTAGTGCCATCAGGGCCTTAGGTTAAAAATGGAGCATCTGTGCCTAAAGCTTCCTTTGACAGCCAAACACCTATCTGTAATATTCTGCATCTGACTAGATTGAGCACGACACAAAATTGTCTTTCATTATTTAATGTCAGGCAGCTGATAAAGTTTTGCAAACTGCAGTCGCTCTGTCTTTTTCTGTCACTAGTGGAGCTGTTGGTCAGTTTTGACCAAGGAGATAATATAGTAAGTTCCTACAAGCTTTGCAATAGCTGGTACCTGGCCAAGTAGAAGAGCGAGCCCTAAATTCGCATCCCAACTTGGTGGAAGGTTTTGCATATGTTCAGCTATTACTTGTTCTATTTTGCTAGCTGATGGCTGATAAGCAAACATAGCTATGAATCAGCTACAGTTTGTGCTTTCTCTTGATAGCAAATAAGGGGGAACTGAAGATATTCCAAAGGGGAAGAAATCTGACTGTGCGCGCTGTGGAAAGAAGTTATGTGTAACTGTGTGTGCTGTGGAAGGGTTATTGTGAAGGGGATGTAGTTGCATGGGACATATTAATCTATTTTTCTAACATGAAGCCCAGTGTCCTACAGTTGACATAATAACTCATATCAATTTAAAATGTATTCCAATACATGATTATGAACCTTTCCAGGGACTGTTCACATGTTAATAGAAATCATAGAATAATTGAGGTTGGAAGGGACTTCTGGAGATCATCTAGTCTAACTCCCCCTGTTCAAAGCAGGGTTAACTAGAGCATATCCTTCAATATGAGGATATCTAATCATCTGAACAACTTATCAAATAGTATTGGATTCTTCACAAATAGAAATTTTTACATCAGGATTGGATGGCTTACTGAAAGGTGTGTTTTAATTTGGCCAAGAGTTAAGAACCATGTATTGCACTATTTAGCTCACAGTAGAGTACCCATGTTTGATGCTGTGTTGGCTCTTACTCTGTGTTAACTCTATAACAAAATGGGTTTTTTTTTGTTTTGTTTTGTTTTGTTTTGTTTTGTTTTGTTTTGTTTTTTGTTTTGTACTCCTTCACAGGATTACCAGCAGGAGTATAATATCAATATGGTAGTGGGAAGTTAAGATATTTTTTTTGGTCATCTGTTTTTTAGCTGTCATCTTTTGTTTTTAAATCTGGTCTCACTGTGATCTAAGTAGAACTTCAGCTATTTTTAGCAGTTTCTTCTGCTTTATTTTATAGGACCATGGATTTTCCAGGACACTTTGAGCAAATCTTTCAGCAGCTAAACTACCAGAGGCTTCATGACCAACTTTGTGACTGTGTCATTGTGGTGGGAAACAGGCATTTCAAAGCCCATCGCTCTGTTTTATCAGCATGTAGCACACATTTCCGAGCTCTCTTTACCGTAGCAGAGGGTGATCAAACTATGAGTATGATTCAGCTGGACAGCGATGTGGTGACAGCAGAAGCTTTTGCTGCTCTGATTGATATGATGTATACCTCTACACTAATGCTTGGGGAGAGCAATGTTATGGATGTCCTGCTGGCTGCTTCTCACCTACATTTGAACTCTGTTGTTAAAGCATGTAAACACTACCTTACTACCAGGACACTGCCAATGTCTCCACCTAGTGATAGAGTTCAAGAGCAAAATGCACGTGTGCAAAGATCTTTCATGCTTCAGCAGCTTGGATTAAGCATTGTGAACTCTGAGTTAAATTCCACTCAGAGCACAGAGGAACAACCAAATACCATGAACGCATTGATAAGAAGTAACATAGAGCAACGCACTATTTTTCCTATCCGGCATCTCCACAAGTGTAAGCAGTCTTCTGATGATCGTGCCAGACAGCGAATCAGACCTACAGTAGATGAGTCCATTTCAGATGTTACTCTAGAGAGTGGGCAGTCAGTAATTCACTCACGAGAAGATTTTTTTTCACCAAATTCACTAAAGATTGTGGACAATTCTAAGGCTGATGCTGTTACTGATAAACAGGAGAATAATACTATTATGTTTGATCAATCTTTCAGTGCTCAGGAAGATGCTCAAGTGCCCAGCCAGTCAAATAGCGGAGGAAGCATTTCACAGATATCCATCACATCCCAGGTAATACAAGTGGAAAACAGTTTTGATCAAAACACTACTTCTGAGAAAAACAGCTTCTCATGTGAAAATACAGCAGTCAGTCTAAATGAAAAAGAGCATGTAGGGGTGGTGGTTAAATCTGAGCCTTTGAGTTCCCCAGAGCCTCGAGATGAAGCGAGTGATGTCACTTCTCAAGCAGAAGGCAGTGAGTCTATTGAAGTGGAAGGAGGAGTAGTGAACACAGAGAAGATAGAACTGAGTCCTGAAAGCAGTGATCGCAGCTTTTCTGACCCACAGTCTAGTACTGATAGGGTAGGAGATATCCATATTATGGAGGTGTCAAATAACCTAGACCACAAGTCCACTTTCAGTATCTCAAATTTCCTGAATAAAAGCAGAGGTGGCAACTTTGGTGCTAGTCAAAATAGTAATGACAACATTCCAAATACAACAAGCGACTGCAGAATCGATGGTGATGCCTCTTACCTAATGAGTTCAGAGTCTGGGGCTGCTAATGGTCATCCCTCTGCTACAGTTTCTCATGTAGAGAATCAATTCAGTGAGCCTGCAGACTCTCATTTTGTTAGACCAATGCAGGATGTAATGAGTCTTTCTTGTGTACAGACTTCTGGGTACCGAGCTGGAGAACAATTTGGTATGGATTTTCCAAGGTCAGGCTTGGGCTTGCACTCTTTGTCAAGGACAGTTATGGGTTCTGTAAGAGGTGGCGCTAGTAGCTTTTCTGGATATCGTCGCATAGCCCCCAAAATGCCTGTTGTGACCTCTGTCAGGAGCTCCCAGCTGCAAGATAACTCGTTCAATTCCCATCTGTTAATGAATGGGGCCACTTCTTTTGAAAATGGAAATCCTTCACAACCAGGTCCACCACAGTTGACAAGGGCATCTGCAGATGTTCTTTCAAAATGTAAGAAGGCCTTATCTGAGCACAATGTCTTGGTTGTAGAAGGTGCTCGCAAATATGCCTGTAAGATCTGCTGCAAGACTTTTTTGACTCTAACAGACTGTAAGAAGCACATCCGTGTGCACACAGAAAAAAAGCCTTAGTCAGTCCAGCCATCTATACAAACATTCCAAAACAACCTGTCTGAGGTGGCAGACCAGCAATCTACCCAGCACTTTGCTTTAATCTCCCCTGTGTCCTAGCCCCTATGAGAATGCCAATATAAGCTTTTAAGAGTCTGGAGTATTTCAGGAATATTAATGCTATTTTATTCAAGGCTGAAGGTTAAGGAGCTGCTGTTGTAGATTAGTAAATACTTGCGTGTGATTGTGCTACATACAAAACAAAGTCTTGGTTCTGTAAATTTGGGATAATACCATAATTGCCTCACAGGAGTGTTGTGAGGCTTAAACAACTGTTAGTGAACCACTTTAAGAACCTCAGAAGGAGGCACTGTAGACAGGTTAACATTTATTGTTAGGGCTCACAGGGATGTAATCATTATAACCAAGTAGTTCCATTGCAGGGCAAAAGGGTGGGGGTTGAGTGAGAATGTTGTTAACTCCTAATTATGTTTAAGTAGCATGTTTCAAGAAAGAAAAATTGAAGGGAAAGCCTCCTTTTTTAGAGATTTTGTAAAATTGTGAGACATTTAAATAAATGACCCATAAGTTGATAAATTGTGCAAGAATGCAAAGAGCTTTCTACAGTAAGTAACACAGATTGCATACTCTTAAAAGAAAACCAACCTTGGATTCACCAGTCTGCCATAAAATGCTTTAAAACATGTTAATTATGAAAATATTTTTTAGGGTTCTGAATGCATTTTTGTCTCTTTTGCAGTACAGGACAATGTATAATGAGGATACTTAAGTATCCTCAGTCCCTCCCAACAGTCCAAATGTTACTGAAGTATCCTCATGTGTGTGTGTGTATACACACACTTTGAATACAGCAAACTCTGGTTGTTTCACCATTTTTTTCTGTGAAAATTCGTATTAAGTACTGTTTTTTTGTTTGTGCTATTCTTAGCAATATTTAAACCAACTTGCATTGCATATGTTTCATAGACATGGAAGTCTGTAGTTTGTCGATTTGTGGTTTTTTTTTTGTTTGTTTTGTTTTGTTTTTTTACTGGATAAGGTAGTCTCTTATTCTTTCCAAATACTGATAGTCATTCTGATCTGTGTTATTGTGTAAGTTTACTTTTAATTTTCATCAGTCATTGATTTCTACACTTCTTAGAGGTATACTAAAAATCTAGGAGCTTGTGTCTGACTGCCCTTGCTTTCTTTGTTTTCCAATATGACAGATTTACAGAAACATTCAGGTTGGAAGGGATCTCAGAAGATCCTTAGTCCAGTCTCCTGTTCAAAGCAGGATTAGCTATGAGCTCAGACCAGATTGCTTATGATTTTGTGCAGTTGGGGCTTAAAAACCTTCAAAAACAGAGCTCCCACAACCTCTCTGGGCCCCTGTTCCACTGCTTGACTGTCCTCATGGCAAAGTTTTTCCTTATATCCAGTCTGAGCCTCTCTTGCTTCAAGTTATGTCTGTTGTGTCTCATCCTCTCCCCATGCACCATTATGAAGAGACTCACTCCATCTTGATGACCACATTGTAGGTATTGGAAGGCTACTGTTGGGTTCCCCCAAAGCTCTCCCTTCTCCAGGCTGAACAAGCCCAGTTTCTTCAACCTTTTCTTATGGGGCACATGCTCCAGATCCCTGAGCTTCTTGGTGGCCTTCCATTGAATTTGCTCCAGTTTGTCCATGTCTTTCCTGTATTGGTGGGCCCAAAAATGGGTGCAGTATTCTAGATGTAGTCTAATGAGTGCCGAGGGATAATTGCTTCTCTTGATCTATTATCCTGTTATGCTCCTATTAATACAGTGCAGGATGCTGTTAGCTTTCTTTGCTGCCAGGGCACACTGCTGGTTGATATTCTGCTTGCTGTCTACTTCAGCCTTGTCTGTGTCTGCTGTCACCAAATCATCTACTCCATTCATCAACAGACCTATATTTTCCTTGTTTGACTTTTTACTATTAATGTATCAGTAGAAGCTCTTCTTATTGTCCCTGAATTCATTTTAAGTGTCAAATCTATGAAGCAATATCACCATGTAGCTAACCTATACTGTAAAATAAATATTTCATGTCCAAGCCTGGTTATTGTCACAAAACTGTCTCCATACCATTTGCTCAGAAGACTTACTTTGAGCCATACAGTGAGATATCATGCAAATATGTCAATATGTTTAGTATTATAAAATGCATCTGAAAATACTGCATTTTTATACTCATGTCTGATTTCATTTACTTGCTTAATTGTGCTGGTTTATTTGCTGATAGCTTGCAGCAGAATGATTAAACAAGTTCGGGTTGTGTGTTCACTAATGGGGTTGTATATGTTACACAATCATTTGTCAGTAGAAATTAATCTTGTTGAACTCTAAGCACACAGTTACATTTTTACCAATTTAGGTAAAGCATAGTACTGTTCACACAAGCCTCCTGCCTTAGGCTGATTTTCTGACAAGTGCAAGAACACTGAGTACTAGCTCAACATATGAATGGACAGTATTTAAGCCAATATGAAGTCCTATAAGATTATCCCATCAACATGTTGTGAGCCCATGCGAACCACCAATGTGAGATTGCATCAGTTCAGCACTTTGCCATAGTATTTCTTACTTGGTTCAAAGATCCCTTGAAACTAGTCTACCTTCTCCTAGAATTACTGTTTCAGGGTACTAGATTCTCTTCTGGGGACCTTTCTGCTCTTAAGATTAAATTGAAGGTGTTTCATTCATATGGTCTTAAATGAGCTATTGCTGGCTGACCTACCTGCAGGGGTTATCTATCCTTCTGCCACAGGCATGATTATCAGGGATGCATAGCCTGCCTCTCTCTCATCAAACAAAGGCTGGCCCAGTGATCTCTAGAAAAGCCCTATGTTTCTGGACATTGCCTTCACTCGTGGACTAAAATAGTTCATGTGACTTTTTTTTTTTTTCCTCCCCCCTCAGCCAGATCAATTCCCTGATCAGGTTCACTATTTGGCTGTACAGGTGTTTGTACTAGCATACCATGAGGTCCAGTACAGGAGCAGAAATGAGGGAGAAAGGGAAAGGTAGTATTCTTGTCAGGGCCCCAAGTATACTAATAGGCCTTAACTGCCCTGACTGGGCTCACCATCTGACTGGGGGCTCCATTTTAGCTCAGGCCTGGGCTTTCAGTTCCTTTCTGAACTATGTTTAACGTGTGCATGTCCCTCATGTGGTTCACCAGTTGTTTGAATTTCATTGATTGACTTTGGACCTGTCTTGTTACCTTATTTTGCCTCATAATTGCTGGATTGTCAATAGGACCTGTTGTGCTTAACTGCTTCTGGTGCTGGGGGAAAAGCATACCCTGTTGGTGAATGTGATTACCCAGCTTGCCCTGTGGCCATTCTCAGCTCAGTTTTCTTTAGGGAGCAGCCCTGCCCTTGCTTCTCTGTGATATCTCAGGCAAGGATTGAAGGCCCTAGCCTCATCTTAAATGGAGCCTCCAGTCAGAGAGTGTGGGTTCAGGTGAGGGTAGTCAGGGCAATTAAGACCTATTAGGTATATTCAGGGCACTGATAATTCTTCCTGGTGACAATATTGTAATGCACATCAGGTATCTTATACAATAAACCTGAGCAGCAACTGAGGTTATAAATATTAGAGAATGAAAGGGCAGAAGGATGTTTGGGTGACTTGTTTCATAGATTATATTAATTCTACTGAGACCAAGTTTTATTGTATGATGCAATAGCATGATTCATGTCTTGAGTAGAAATCATTTTAGTTACTTAGATCTAAACAAAGCATAACACCAGTCAGTCTATAACTTAAATGTACTGTTGCCGTTTGCAGTTTTTCTTTTAAAGACAGTTGTTGCAAGGTATAATTTGGACATTGTGCTGTAGCGACTTGGGAAGGGTTGTGTGTGTGTGTGTGTGTGTGAGGAGGGGGGCGCAGGTGTAAAAGAAAACATAAGAAATCAACTTTGGTGTAGTTTTCATCTCTTACAAAATAGTTTGGATTATTATGCATCACCCTGTTCAGCACTTATGCAAGATGAAACTTGTAGAAAATGGTACACTGCAGCTCTTAACTATACATAGACATATATAGTTAAGCTCTTATGTGCAAGGAACCTTCCGATGTTATGCAATTATGAGTGGTAAATTGAACAACTTGAGCACATTATGGTTTATTGGTACCATTACTGTCCTGGGCCTTCTTTCAAACTTTGCTTCACTGCTCAGATGCAATGTATCTGAGCTGAATACTGCCTGCTTTGTCACTATTATTTTTACATAGTTCAGCCTGCCTCAGAAGGAGGCTTGTGAAGCTGAGCATTCTTCTTTGCAGTCAGGAAGAGAATCCTGTAGTGCTTCAATCATCTTGCTGGAAAAAGCATTTGACTGATTCCCAAGGAAGCGTAAAGAGTAGCGCCTAACCCCTGCAACTAGTCATGTGATAGAGAAGAGCCATTGTGAAAGCAGAGCAAAGACTGCAAATAAGCTCTGGAGCTGTGAGTGAAAAACCTTCCTTTTGCATATTGAAGCCCTCTCTCTCTCTCTACCTCCCTCATGCACTGTGATTTTTAAAAAGTAAAAATTACACATCCTTTCTCTCAGCAGCAGAGGCTTTTCTGCTTTTGTCTCCTTTTGAAGGGCATGAGCTACTTGCTCACCAAGACTTGAGTACAATTAAATTCCTTGGGATGTATGAGGAAGGCTTAATTTTCCTTTCTTGATGAGAAGGTCCTTATACAAGAACACAACGTATTCTAGCAGCTATGCAGCAGAAAAGGAGGAATAACAGCTGGAAGACATGGTGAGGTGGGTAGGGAAGCAGAACTTGTTACTGGCTTAACATCCAAAACTATTTGCAGCATCTTAAAATTTCTTAAATCATGGTATGAAACAGATGGCTGGCAGATGAGGGAGGAAGGGTTCTCTTCATTTCTCAGTCCTCATCTCTATTAAACCCCTTTGATTTGCATGCAGGTAAGCTGAGAGACTGGCTTTAAACAGATAAGAAAGTTCTTCACAGATTTGGGAGGGAACCTGTGGGACTTACTGACACTTCTAGGTTAGACATTAAGAATAATTTCTACATGGAAAGAGTAGTCAAGCATTGAAACAGGCTGCCTAGGGAAGTGGTGGACTCATCTCTGGCAGTGTTCAAGAAATGTGTAGATGAGGCGCTTAGGGACATGGTTTAGCAGGTATGGTGTTGAAGGGCTTACAGTTGGACTCAACGATTTTGAAGGTCTTTTCCAACCATAACGATTCTATGATTCTATAGCAGAAGTGAGGAAGATTTGTTATCACAAGATAATTTGTTACATAAGTGAATATGTGAAATAATCAAGTAGGGTAAAAGCTTTAATCTTCTTAAATAAACCCTAGTAT